TGAACCCTTCTGTTGAGATATACATTGCAAACCGAGCCTGTAAACAAACAGCACACCAAAAAACCAAACCCCACACAATCTCTTCCAGGTGCCAGGATAGGACGGGAGAGCAACATATATTATCATCAAACAAGCAGCTTGAGTAGATTTCAGATCCATTTCTAAAGAATTTAACTCAAAGAACCAGTAATTTCAAAACTTGTCACACTCTACAGAACTATAGAACATCAAAACATTTCTCAGGTGCTTAAAATAGGATTCATTTTTCTATTATATTTCTGAGTTACTGAAACATCAGGCAAGATTTCCAGTCTGGTTCACACATTATTTTGAAAACCTGCAAATATTAGTAAAAAGAATTTAACTTAAGAATTTAGCTCAAGATTGTATTATTACCTGTTGCTCTTGACATAATTCTTAGAGTTAAAGCATTAGACAAGCACAAGCTGCTTTTACGCAGTTGTCATTTTGTCTCATAGTAGTTCATCAATATGAAACTACTAAAGAAACTTGCTCTTTTTACAAGTATTTTTCAAAAATCCCATGCATGTGAGGTCTCTCTAAGTACACCAAATGAATACAGTCTGGTGCGTGCAAAAGCTACCCTTAGAAATAAATTCCATCTTCCAGGAACATATTTAGAGAACAAATGATTACTACCTACATGAAGACTTATTATAGTATGAGAAATGGGAAATAAAAGCCATGCCACTTTGTAACAACAGGATGCGAGGCAATACAGGGACACAGGACATACTTGAAGCACCTATCCAAAATACCTTTGCCCTTTGGCAAAATTTTAGAATCACAGTATCACTCTTTCAACTACAATATCAACAGAACTTGGAAGCACAGCAAAAAACCCCAAAGCTGTATTTTTCAGATGAACTCCTACAGACATACTAATGGAAAGACAAAAGCAGCAGCTTACCTTACAGGAATGGCTTTAGGCACAGCATTAACATTATTTGGTTGATATTTAGGCTTGTCGACCTGTACAGCAAAGGTATCCATTCCACTGTCAAACTCGGGAGGCTGCGACGAGCTGTGTGCTTTCAAAATCGGTTGTGGAGAATTCGGAGATTTTGATGGCAACTCTGGTTTATGTTGAGCTTCATTTGGCAAGAGATTATGGTTGAATTTAGGGCTTTCAAACTTGCGCTCAAAGGGCCTTGCGGCACTAGTGTAAGGTTTTGTTGTAAAGCGGTTGTAAGAAGGAGCGACTGTCTTCTGAACCTGCTCAGTTCCATTGACGGGGCCTTTGTCAGGGAAGCTTTTCTGAGGATAAAATGTGGACTGCACAGTGTCCTCTCGAGAGGATCTGAAAATTGCTGGCTTATTCTGAGGTGGAGGAGGGTCAGACACGGAGTTAACTGCAACACACAATACCCGAATTCATTAGTAACTAGTCACATACACCACAGTATAAAAATGCATTTTAGTCAATTCTTAATCTACTCTGTAAAATATATGTAAGTTCATAACTGAGCTCTCATGGATCATGTCCTCTTATTATAGTCTGTGCGTTCAGGCAAGTTGTCTAGAGAGGTACATTTTCAAGTGCGGGAAACTTTACTTCAACCTTGCCAAAACCACTAAATATGGAAGAGAAGTTACAGTGACTACTGACACCTGGAAGTTACGGTCTTGGACGCCACATCATTTCACAAAACACAATCTCACTATATCGCAAAAAGCCATTTTCACTACTAATTATTCCAAGTTTCAGTCAGAGAACCATACAGTTAGCAGCGTGGATACACTGAAGCAACCCCACAAGTGACCCTTGTTGCCAACGAGACGGGTTAGCTTTCCAACTGCTCACCTTCAGAGAGCGCAGGCTTGTGATGTGCTGGGAGAGACAGGACAGGACTGTTAATGGACTGAGGTTGTGTGTACTGCACTGAAGGAGCAGGAGGAGGAGTTGTAACTTGAGGGTTGAGGATTGGCTCGTAGCGTTTATCACCGACAGGCCTATCCATCGGTTCAGTATCGCTTGGTTTCCCCCTATTGAAATAAAAGAAGAAAACATCATTTGACTGTTCTGTTTCCTCAGGACTCCGAGATCCTGCATTCAACACTACTTTTTTCTTCTACGATCACCCAATTTCCATCTCTTCCTATAAACATTAAAGCACATTTTTCTTTACAATCCTGTCTCGAGTGCAAGAACATTTATCAATAAGCACAAGAGATTAAGACAACATTGAATCTTTAGAAGAAGATTAGTAACACAAACCATGGCAAACAAAAGGCAGATGACATTTCAGGTGTATTTGCTTAATTGCCTACAAGATCTATTTTTTTTTCCATTTCATTTGTGGTAATTTCAATGGAAAAGTGTTCTCTAATTTAGCAGGCCTTCAAAATAATTTTTTTAGGGGGTTGGGTTGTTTCTGAAAAGCATAGTTAGCCAATAAGACAATGGATTCTAGTTCAACTTTTCTAAATACACCTAGTATTTGAAGAATGCCATCTTAATTAGAAATGCAATCAGCTTAAGCTTCACTAGCTTTATGTGCATAGTGTAGAAAACTTTAAAATCTTATTTTCAAAATATTTTTCTTACAACGGAAATATTTCTCCAAAAGTTTATTTCAGGAAACGATTGATTTCACAAAAGCTTGTCATTTTGGACTACAATATCTTGCACTTTCAGAATTTGTGTTTTAAATTTTAAGTGCACATAATGCCTGTGATGAAATGTAACAGTGAGAGGACACCTGAAAACATCCTCAACACATCAACAACAGTCTTACCACTTGATGTTCCTTTTCAAGTAGTCATAGCTAGTGTAAGAGCCACGAAATCTAGGTGATGGCAAAGCAAACAGCAATAGAAGAATGAAAGAAAATAGTCATTCTATCTTGAGAATATTATGTCTTCACACTTTTTGTTAGTCCTAGCAGCTGTCATACGACAAGGTTGTTGAAACAAAGAGACAATACTTCTAACAGTGATGTTTCTAGTACGAGCTTTACCGTATGCACACGTACAATGTACCTACTAAACGTGAGTTTGTCAGTGAATTAGGAGGTCAAGATGTCAAACTGACAGGTACTGAAAGTAAGTCTGAGATTACACTAACCCATTTGTTACAATCTGTATGAACAAAGTTCTTCAACGTACTGAAAAAAAGTGAACGTCATAGATCCCATATTCTAGAAATCTCTTACTTCTTGTCCAAGTTGCATTAATTTCTTCGCTCTTAACATACAAAACCATTATCATTCTGGGTACTGCAGATCGTAACAAATGTTTCTACAGCACGATCAGCTCATCCAACAGCAGAGCCCACATCATAAAACGCTTCTGATTGTGTTCAACAACTCCTAAAAGGGTATCTTGGAACACATTTTTTGAATACTATGAGAGACAGCAAACTAAAGTACTGTTGTAACTTTCCCTTTATTTTTTAACACTTATCTTGCTTATATGTCACAAGAAAACACATTTTACTTTAGGACAGCTTTTCCTCATCACTTTCTGTACGCTCATAAAAATGTAACAGGCACCAATTTTAGGCACTAACAGTCTTACTGCTTCAGAGGAGCATGTTGTGAAACTAAGAAAAGGGTCGATCAGTTTTTGAAAGTCTGCTTTACGACCACACAAAGGCGATGCTCAGTGAGCCAAACAGCACCTGCGAGAAAAATCAATGCTGCAAAAAAAATCATTTTGGATCTGCTGTATAAGCTGTTGTTCCCACTGATTTTATATAAAGCCATCCATCCAACACTAATCACAGAATGGCATAGGCTGGAAGGGACCTTAGATATCATCCAGTCCACTAGAAGTTCTTGATGGACACTCACTGAATGCTGCCTTTATTTCCGGTGGGCAGTGACTGCTTTCTCAGAAAACTGCCCATGTGAAATCAGGTGTAGTACGTTTGGATGGAGGAAGCAGAAGGGAGAGCTGTGGCCACACAAAAAACCACAAAGTATGTAAGCACATCCTTCTGTCACAGGCTCCTGACCATGGGTCAGCCCCAAACTCAAGCATGATGTTCAAAACCTGTGTATGCAATCAAGGAGTTCCAGACCAAAGCACCTGCTTACAACTTGTGAGCGTATAAACGAGTTCCCCTAATTACTGATACGCTGTATGCTAAGCTGCTTCCCCCTTCATTTTGGTTACAAACCCATTACCGTCGTTTGAAATGAAGCAGAAATGAACCAGTGGACAACAGCTGATGAGCCTCAGTGCACAACTTACCGAATTGCACTGCTGATCTTCAGATCCCATTCAAAAAAAAAAGGTCCAACTCTCTAACTGCTCTGTAAGAGCTAAACTAACGCAGTTTAGGAAGCTACCACAGGACACTGTTCCTTACTGCCTCCTCTGCTGAGGCTGTAATGGATCATGTGAGTACTTCTTAGCCCTACTCAACACAAAAGTCAGGGAAACTCCCTCATTCTGCAGCATTTCAAGCTAATGCAGGTAACCACGCTGAACCAAGTAGGAACAAATCCACCACTCTCAGCTACAGGAGTAGTAGCCTCAAATTCACAGAATCACAGAATTGTTGAGGCTGGCAAAGCCCTCTGAGATCATCCAGCCCAGCCCGTGCCCCAACCCCCCCCATGGGCCAGAGCAGGCACCAAGTGCCACATCCAGCCTCTCCTTAAACCCCCCCCAGGGATGGGGACCCCCCTGCCCTGGGCAGAGCATCCCAGGGCCTGAATGCCAATTGCTCCAACTAGATCCTCTGAAACACGTCCATTTACAAGTTTTCTCACATCAAGAGAAACTATCCCTTACTCTACAGTCACTGACAACTGTAACACGCAGATAATGGCATAACCCATATAAAGCAGCTTTAGTAATGGCATAGATTTCCTCAACAACACAAATAAGACCCCAACAAATTCAAAGAGCGACCAAGTTTGTATGCGTGTAGTGGAAAAAATATATACTCACCCAACACGCACTCCATGGCAGAGAAATTTATGTAGTTTAAGACAATATTAAAAACTAAAAAAGTTGTAGCTATTGCTCATGAATATATAAAACCTGTCCTCTGTGCCCAGAATACATTATATGGATTATGCAGGAGCAAGAGATTGAGTAATCAAATGTTCCTGTATCATCCAGATCTAGTCCTGTTTATTTTTAGAAGAGTTCATTCACAGAATAGAAATTACCGTATAAATCCACTAAAGAAAACATGAATAACAAGCAAGTAACAGGGTACAAACTG